ATCAACAGCACAGAGCCCAAGCCTGTCAACAGCGCCAAGGCTGCAAAACGGGCACGGCACAAACAGAAGAAAAAGGCACAGTGTTTGTTTTCCAATTCAGTTTTATGTATAAATATCCGGAAAAGAGATAATTACAGCTACCATTATTTCTGGTTCAGTTGGTACATTGGAAGTGAAAGATCCTGAATTCTGGGAAAATAAGAAAACTGAAAAAAATAAAATAAGCACCAAATCAGCATATTGGAATGATTTCTAAAGGATCAGGTGACAATGAAGACTAGAGTAATGGCAGCTGAAAGTTCAGCTTTATCATCATTAATTACAGAAATATATTAAAATATGTTTTTTTGTAATATTGTAGTAATATTTATAGCCTGGGTTAGCGTAAGAGACTAAAAAAAAAAGAATAGTGTGCTTAAAATATTATTTTGAATTTATTTTACTGTTGTAAGGATTTCTACCAGGCTTCTGTTTAGATATTTTTGCTTTTTGAACCTCTGCCGCCTTTGATTTCCAGAAATAGTTTATTTTGAAGCCAACTTGCCTTTTGCGTTCTTTATGCAAATGCTGCTTTTACTCTTTCAACTTAAAAAAAAAAAAAAACATGATTGTGACTGATTTCTCAACAATCTTGATCAGGAGAAGGAGAGGGCTCTTCAGGGCAGTGTTGAGGCAGCCAGCAGCGAACCCCGCTCGGCATCTCCCCCCGACCCCGTAGAAGATTCGACTCCGGACGGGGAAGCGAACAGACTGTTGGAGTGGCCTCAGCTGGAGCTGGAGCGAGTTAACAGTTTCCTGACCAGCCGTCTGGAGGAGATCAAAAACACCATAAAAGACTCCATCCGTGCCTCCTTCAGCATGTACGACCTCAACCTGGACGTCAACGACTTCCCGAAAAAGGCGGCGACACTGGAAGGAAACCATCTGCTGTCTCACCTCAATGGATCTTCTGATTTGCAGCAGATAGACTTGGATCTGGCGCCTCTCTCACTGAGGAACTTCAAGAGAGACCTGGATATAGTAAACGGTTGGGAGGACACCACCACTGCAGCCAAAGACATCCAGAGGCTCCACTCCACGCCAAGTCTTTCCAAGCTCATCCGTGTGCAGTCACCAGAACGAAGCCCAGCCACGGGTTCAGAGTCCATCCAGCCTGGCACCGCATCTGTGGCCAAGCCCAACGATGCGGCCCTTGAAACCAAGCCCACAACTGGAGCCGGATCCAAGACAAAAAAGGGTAAGAAACAGCAGAATCAGAGGCACCAGGAGCAGGCGACTCAGGAGCAGGTGACCAGTATAAAAATGGCAAAAACTGAGACGCACAAAGCGCAGGAAACCAGGGCAGCTGATTCAGATAAAAGCACCAAAGGTGGATCCAAACAGAACCACCAGACTCAGCAGCAGGTAGACTCACAGAAAACAGGAAATAAGAGAGCAGAAGAGGTCAAAGCTTGCAAGCAGTCATCCAATGGAGCCTCAAACGGTCACCATAATACAGGGTCTAACACGCAGAGGGGGAAGAACAACCTCTCAGAGGCACGGGGAAACAGGTCGGAGCATGACGTAGACACTAAAACCAACTCCAACACTTCCAGTTCACAGCAGCAAGCACAGCAACCGAAGGGAAAGACTAAAAATAAGAACAAAAACAAGACGGAAAAATCGAATAACGCAATCGGTAAGTGACCTTTGGGCAATATCAAGTTGGTCTGATCTTGTAGGTCTGTTGCATCAGACCAATTTACAGCTCTTCATCACTTTTTTCCCCCTTTCTCCCTGATAGATGATGTGTTCCTTCCCAAAGACGTCGACCCTAAGGAAATGGACGAGATTGATCGTGAGGTTGAATATTTCAAGAGGTAAAGTCCAAAACAAACCGCTCTGTTAATTAGTGGCATTTGACAAACATTACTATCATAATTATTATTATTGTTACAATAGAGTTACTTTTTTAATAAATATCAGTATTGTTTTAATAAGTATACGATTTTGTTCTAGTGAGATTTCACTAGCTGCGTTACCATTACAGATTTGCGCAAAACTTCTGCAATATTTTATAAATGTCGATTAAAAAAAAACTATTGCGAAATGACGGCATTTCCATTAACCAGTGTTATGTGACTAAAATTTAACTTTTTTTTTTCTTCTCCTGATAAGACACGGCGACGGATATTGGTAGGCCCCTTATACTTGAGAGAGGCCATGTATGAGGTGTTTCTTGGAGGTTATAGTACATTAAAGAATGATCATGTGACTTTTACGTACACCAGGAGACCTGTAAATGCGAAAAAACGGTTTCTATTGCAGTTATGCTAAATATTCCTTTTTTGAATTGCCTGAAAAACCACCTCATGAGAGTGTAAACTTTTTTGCAATATATGGGACTTCTTGCGAATTTGATTTGTTTCCATTGGGTGTATTTTCAATTCGCAATTTCGATTTGCGCAATTTGAAGGGCAATGGAAGCGCAGCTACTGTCAGTGGGGCTTACCAAGTGCAGATATAGAAACCAAGTGATGAAGATACAGAAGATACAACCTCGTGGCGCTCATCGCTAGAAGAATATCTTAGATTTACATGGAAGAGATATTAATTGTCTTTTATCACATTACAGGTCATTCTTGGAACAAGAATGTCGTAGAAATGTAAAAAATCAAATTCGTTGCTTAAGCTTTTTTTTTTTTTAATCTCTCAATTTTTTTTAGGTTTTGCCTTGACTCTGCTAAACAAACCCGACAGAAGGTGGCTGTGAACTGGTCCAACTTCAGCCTCAAAAAGATGCCCTCAAATGCAGCTCAGTAACAGATGGGTGATGGTAAACAGACCCCCTCCCCTCCCCTCCCAGCAAGACTGTACTTAAAACCAGTTTGGCCTTTGGTTACTGTACTTAACACCTGATGGGCCTAAGGTTTCTCCCTCTCACAGCCCTCTCTGCCTCTATGCCACGGGACCTTGATTTGACCACCAGTCATCAAACACGTTTTCATTTGACCTGTTGTTCACGGGGGATCACACTGCATCCTGAACTCAGTCCGAGAACTTGCATCCTGTTATCGCTAAAACGCGTTCGGGTACTGATCCAGTGCATCTACATGCTTTATATGTCGTATGTACACAGTTGTTTTACAATAAAAATGTTTTAAATTCACAACAATGGTGCGGTTTGGCCCGTCACGCTTTTTTCAGCTGTTCATGTGTTTTAAAAGGTACTTCTACGGTTGCACCATCATGCATTTTTGCAGACGCCACTCACCCTGCAAATATACTGTAGTCTTAGAATAGATACGAAAAATGTGGGTTTTTTGATAATACAAAATTCGAATTGCTGTATCATGTCTGACTGTCATAATGGAGGTAAAAAGGCAGCAAAGACGGTTGTGTTCACTGATGTGTTTTAGTTTGTAGAACTGTCCATGCGAGATACAAAGATCTGGATACATTATACTACACCCGTGTCATTTCACAGTTGACTTTGTGAGGCCAAGTGCAGCTGTGACCGTTTATATGCACAAAAATGAACCGTGCACATGGACTTTGTTGTCTTTTAGAACAATGAGAACACCCGTACCTATGCTTACAATGTATGATGTGTGAAACTGTTTTGTCTTATTACTTCGGACATTTTCGAGAAAAGAAAAAAGGAATCAACACTAAAAAGAAACTGATTTTAAAGACCTGTATCTGTCGACTGTGTCACTTTTATACATGAAATCTAAGGTTGAGCAAATGAGCTGTTTCCTTTGCATGATGCGTAAAAACTGACAAGTATAGGCAACTACAAATCTCTCCCTTGTCCTTCAACTCTGTATGGAATGCTGTTCCAAACTGACTGTTGGCAAAATGTCCTGACCGAAATCTTATGGTAGTGTCCCTGCTGATCCTCCCATGTGGTGGTCTGGATATAGTTCTGTGCTGTGACCACGTTCTCAATGCTGTTGTTGTGAGTTTCAGTTTGTAGTTGGTTCTGCAGCAGTGCACCCTGTTTTGGCTGCATGATGGTATCAGACCTGAATTTATACATCCCAGACACTTGCAGCAGTTCTGCTGGTGTAGTTTCAGTCCACTGGTGCGTAACAAGTTCAGACCTGTTTTAATTTGTTACATTTGCAATGGCATCTTATGATTTAAAGGGGCTTTAAGATCCCCTTCAGTGGTACGCCGCTTGTAACATCTGGTGGCCTTTTCCATAGCTTTGTATGTCTGCGTCATACTGTTTTTTTACTCATTTATCCCTGAAGCTGAGCCCCTTCTGGTAAAAATCCCAAATACAGATATGAATTTAAATTAGGGTCTCTGGGTTTATGATAAACTAAATCTCCTTTGAAGGGTTGAGATCTCTTTGAGAAATCTGTTTTGAGTTTTTGTTTTCATATTTTTCCGACATCTTTGACTCTATCCAGGTGATATTAAACTAGAAGACATTATCTTAAACATTTGGAATGTAGATTTATACTATACCATTAATGGCCAAGTGTATGCTGGCTTTCTGTTTTATTTTGTTGTTTTTTATTATTATAATTATTATTATTATTATTCACCTTTGATACTGTGAAAATCTTTCATGCAGAAAGATTCAAACCTGACAGTTTTGAGAAAAGAAACGCGTGTTTGCTTTCTAAATTTATATTTTGGTACCATGCAAATGTGGTAATATAAGAAACCACAGTTTTTTTTAATCTGTCATTATTTACTTACCTTCGTGAGTGAATACTTACCCTCGTAAAACCGTGTGACTTGAGGAGATGTTACAATTTCTTAGAGAATGATTGGCTGCTTTGGTCACTATTCACTTTCATTTCTTTTTTTTCTCTCAATGCAAATGAATAGTGACTGAGGCACATTGATACTATTTAGCACATTCTTTCTTGCATCTCCTAGTTTGTCTCCCAGAAAGTCATACAGGTTTGCAACAACATTATGGTGAAAAATGTCCATTTTTAGGTGAACGGGTTTTTTTTCCGAAATACATTGGTTAGTCCCTTTTGGGCCACCGTAGTGTACGTAAGCTGTACGTCACGCTTCCGTTGATCATTAGCAGCGTAACATGGTAGCTAGTGTATAAACAGTGCTTGTTTGGGTGTAGTGTAACATTTACCTGACATTATTGTACTAAATATCGCAACTTCCGGTTCACGCGGACTTTAAATCTTGTAACATCGAGCATCATGGAAACGGAAAACCGATCCAAAAAGGTGAGTTTTACTAATATGTATAATAAACGCACCTTGATAAGTAAATAGATTCGAGCAACAGATTTAACCCCATTCACTGTATAAAACGTGCGATTAATTATATCGTAAATATTTTTCTCTACAGGTTATCTGATGTATAATGACGTTTTAGCATTTTATATAGCGAATTAAAATGTGGCGAAAATAAATTGCCTTTGTGTGTAATTAATATAAAACTGTAAGAAGAGAATATGTGGTTCTGAACTGCTGTATAACTTCATGTGATGCTGTATGACATGTATGCAGTTTGTATTCTATGTAACACTTTGTGGCTTTTATGTAATTGTCAGAGAAACTATTCAGAGAAGTCTGGATCAGAAGGCTCAGAAGATGATGACTATGTGCCGTATGTTCCTGTTAAGATCAGAAAACAGCAGATGGTAAGCAACAACGATATTTAATGCTTTTGCTGTTATATGTCCCAGCATCCTAATTGCCTGTGTTTATTTGATGTGACTCTAAGCTCCAGAAGGTGAAAAATTTTCGTGGGAAAGGGCTCACAGTGGAGGAACAGAAAGATAGTGGTGGAGAGCAAAAAGATGAGGATGAGGGTCTGGGTCCCCGATCCAATGTCAGTCTGCTGGACCAGCACCAACACCTCAAGGAGAAAGCTGAAGGTCTTTACACCCTCCCCTGTGCTTCATTGCTTATTTACTGTCTAATGCAGTGGGTCTCAATCAGGCACGGCGCCAGAGTTATTTCTCTACCGGTGCTAAGGGGGGGCTAGACCAATATGTGGGGGTGCTAAGAAAATAAATGATATTGATGAAGTCAGAGTTACTTCATAAAGAAATTGTCGTTTTTTTTTTTTAAATAAAAGCAGCTATGGTACACACCATATTCAACAGAAGTGTAGTTTTAATTTATATTTTGCCAACGAATAGGCAAATTCATCAAAATAGATATAATCTTAATACAAGTGACCATAAGACAACGACAAAAACTTTTTACATACAAAGGAAAGACTTCAGAACTGGACAGCACCCATGCGTTTAGCATTAACAACACAATACATATGCATAATTAGAAGTGTGCATACTTAAATAAAACGTTAAAACGAACACCACATCACAACCTTAGTGACTATGTAATGGATTGCATATAGCCTACAGAATGACGATACGTCTGTGGCCGTGGTTTAGCGCAAATGAGGGCTAAACCGGGGCTATTCAAAATTCTGACGGGGCTATAGCCCCCCCCAGCCCCGGTGTAGCGCCATCACTGGTCTCAATAAGAGTGTCAATATAGGAAAATTAAGCAACCACAATTCATTTTATGATTCTAGAAGTTTCAATAAACTTAAACAACAACAACAACAAAAAATAGTTTTTGCGGGGAGAAAGAAATATGATTTCAATTCACATCTTGATTGAATTTTTTAGCATTCAATTAATAATTTTAATAAGTAATTAAGTCATGTTGCAGCCACCTTGTACGTTTGTTAAGTCCACTTGGTTGAGAACCACTCGACAAATAGAATTTGGACAGTAATGATTGTCTCTTGAGTCATTTCAATCTTTCTGTTGGGATATTCAGTTTTTAATATTTGTAAATTGAGTATTTTTAGTAAGTTCTCTTTAGAAATGTTTATCACATTATTAAAATGTTTTAGTTTGTCCAACCTATGTGTGAAAATCAAGGAGTCAAAATGAAATTCAAGCATAGAAGTACATAAAGATCTAGTATTTTTTTAGAAATTAACAACCAAGTATTTTTTGATGTACGTGATTAAAGTATTAAAGATTCTAAGCTACTAATCAAATAAGAAAAATTCTACTAATAGTTTTTTGTTGTTTTGTTTTGTAAATACAAAGATAATTCTTAAGTAGTTTCAGTATGGTTTTTTTTTTTTTGTTCATTTGTTATTTATTCTCAAATCTTGTATTAATAATTGCAGCTCGAAAGGAGTCTGCCAAGGAGAAACAGTTGAAAGAGGAAGAAAAGATTCTGGAGAGCGTGGCTGAAGGCAGAGGTAAGCGAAAACAGAATGATTTACCAGATTAATTAATTTATTGGTTAGAAGTATTTATCATCATAAAAATGCATCTTTTAATATCTTTATCAGCTCTAATGTCTGTGAAGGAAATGGCCAAAGGTATCACATATGAAGACCCAATAAAAACAAGGTGAGCGGCCTCATCATCTGTCCTTCTGTAAGCCCACTCTGTCTCTGGCACATCCTGTGTCATCTGCCTGAAAAATGAGAAGCCGATTACCTATATGTAACAAAAATATTTCATCATACAAATCATAAGTCAAGAGGCAGACAGTACAGGCACCAGACAGCAGCAGTATGGTCATTTATTTATGCATGTCTTTCTCTCCATCTGTAGAGGGAGCTGGCGAGACAGACACATAGTATCATTGAACACTACTGTAAACTCCTAGAGGATGAAGGGGCTCCGCAGTTGCGCTGTGCTCTGTGTATTGGGGGCATGTCTGTCAAAGAACAGATGGAGGTGGTAAAAAAGTGAGTCACATTGTCATACTGGCTCTTTATTTGAATGCTGGTTGCTTTAGAAATCCCTTATAAACTTGCAAATGATTGTGTGATTGTAGCGGGGTGCACATGATGGTGGCCACTCCAGGCAGACTGATGGACCTGCTGAAACCAGATTAATTAATTTATTGGTTAGAAGTATTTATCATCATAAAAATGCATCTTTTAATATCTTTATCAGCTCTAATGTCTGTGAAGGAAATGGCCAAAGGTATCACATATGAAGACCCAATAAAAACAAGGTGAGCTGCCTTTAACTCTCCATTCATTTGTCAGATCATTTTTTTGCAAATAATGACAACAACAATTAACTTCTGATTTTCTCTTCAGCTGGAATGTGCCTCGTTACATTCTTGGCATGCCGGCAGCGCGGCACGAACGTGTACGGAAGAAGTACCATATTCTTGTTGAAGGTGAAGGCATTCCACCACCCATTAAGAGCTTCAGAGAGATGAAGTTTCCTCAGGGTAAGATCCATCTTACCTATTTTTACATGCAGCACCTCACTCGCAGCTTCACGCTAATGGCCCGCTCTCAACTTTAATGGTCTTTGCAGCCATCCTGAAAGGACTGAAGAAAAAAGGAATCGTTCGCCCGACACCCATTCAGATTCAGGGAATACCAACCATGTGAGTTGCATGTGGGCTTGAGGCAATATTTAGCCATTATCATGCACTATCAGGAGGTCATACATATATATA